CTCTTGGAATTTTACATACTTTGCAGTTTGTTTGGATGGGAGTCCCCCAGCTTACCACCATGATAAGGGATTTGGCTCAGGAATTAACAATTGGTTGGTTCACATTGAGGTTTGTCCTTTTCTCTCTGCTCCCATTACAATTTCTTTCACCAGATGAAAGAGAGAAGAAAAGAAGGTATAGTAACAACAATTTTCAGTCAGTTATCCAGAAGGATTTACTGGTAGATTTAACAAGTTCTAATATAAATTTTAATGAAAATCCGAATATTTGATAGTTATATATTTCTGTTGTCATATTAATTCTTCTTTTTGTTTGGTTCTTAGGGAGGAGGATGGTGTAACAATGTCACAACTTGCCTTGGCCGTAAAAACACTCGTTTAGGTTCATCTAAGCAAATGCTGAAGGCAATTGCCTTTTCTGGGATTCTGAGCAACAGGAAAATGTTTAACCCAGGTTTGATATCTATTTTTTTTCTTACAACTTACTAGAAAGAATTTATTCAATTAAAGACTTAGTAGTTGATCAGCATAGCTTTAATTTTCTTTTGTCTGTTGAGCTTCCCTTTCTTTTAAACAGTAAAACAAAAATTATGTTTCCAATGCCAGACTTTTACAATTGGAACAGAATCAAAGTTAGGTACTGCGATGGGGCATCATTCACTGGTGATGTTGCAGCAGTAAACCCAGTAAGTTACTTATTCAAGTAGCAGTCCAAGTTTTACACCATAAATTGTGTATATATATACACTACCTTTCATTTTCTTTTTCTGATGGAGGTATTTTCAATAAAATAACAATTTAAGCAGGCTACTGGTCTTTACTTCAGAGGAGCAAGGATCTTTCGTGCCGTCATTGAAGATCTATTAGCAAAAGGAATGGGGAACGCTCAAAATGTATGATCCCTTAACAATTAACAATTTAACTTCTGTTATCTTTAGTTCTGATGACTTGTTAGGACATTTGACTACAGGCTATTCTCTCTGGTTGTTCTGCCGGTGGATTGACTTCTATTCTTCATTGTGACAACTTCCATGCTCTCTTGCCCGTCGGAACGAATGTCAAATGTGTTTCAGATGCTGGTTACTTTATTAATGTGTAAGCTCACATTTAGTACCTTCTGGCTTTGTCCTATATTCCAAACTACAATGAGAGTTTGCTTATACATACACCTTATACTGAATAACAGAAAGGATGTTTCTGGAGCCCAACACATCGAAGAGTTCTTTAGTCAAGTGGTTGAAACACATGTACTCTCTCTCTCTCTCTCTCTCTCTCTCTCTCTCTCTCTCTATAATGTGGTGCAAACATCAATACTCATTTGTGATTGTCATCTTTTGTAGGGTTCAGCCAGGAATTTGCCTCCATCCTGCACTTCAAAATTGAGACCAGGTTTGGTAAGTATTGCTATCCTGTTATGATTTTCACTATTGACTATATCCTTGTGACTTGTAAATTCTGATGATATTCAACAACACTTTAGTGCTTCTTCCCGCAATATATGGCATCCCAAATCCGGACGCGGATATTCTTTGTAAACGCAGCCTACGATTCGTGGCAGGTTAGCTCAACTCCCTGACTCTCTCCTCCGTTATGAACTCTGTTAAGTTGTTTCCTCAAATTTATGTTCTGTTTAGCAGGATAGTTTTTTCATGATCCATCTTCCTTATTTAAGTTTTATGGATGAATTAACAACTAGACCAATTTTGTTCTCTCAATGACCATTTTTGTTTTGAAGAAAAAAGAGTGCAAAATTTCAGCTGGGATTTCTCTTATTCTTCATCTTCATCTTCATCTCACTGTGTCTCCATCCATCCATGCAGATCAAGAACATTTTGGCACCGGGAGTTGCCGATCCTCACGGCACTTGGCACGAGTGCAAGCTCGATATAAAGAATTGCTCACCCACTCAACTCAAAGCCATGCAAGGTAAATCTCGAAATTAGAAGATTTCAACTTAAAAAATAGGCTAAATTGTAGCAATGGTCCCTCGATTATGACCCAATTTTCCTTTTCATCCCGCATGTTGCAAAATTGTTATGATCGTCCTTCAATTAGATCTCGCGTTACATCATTAGTCCTTTTCGTCAATTCTGTTTGTTTTTCCTTCAAAATTGATCACATGTCAGACACATGCTAGATATTTTAGGGGTAACTAAGAATTTTACCTAGCCACCACCTCCTTCTACCTAAGCCTAACCGCACGCCATCCTCTTCCCCCCAAATCTGCCCATCCATCTACCTCACCAATCCAACAACCCAAACCATCCCAGATGGCTCAAAGCCTCCAGCACCTTCTGGTGATAAATTCTAAGTCTCCTCTGGTATGTCAATCACTTTCCCTCCAAACCATGATGGATTTTATCTTGACATGGTAAAATGCATAAGCATAGTTTTCTTTGCCTCCAACCAACGAGGTGTAGCTCAACTTTGGGTGGCTCAAGAGCTCCTTATCCTCTCCAAAAGTCAACCTGCTAAAATCAACTTCCCCAATCATTAAACCCTCCTTCCCCACATGCTCAAATGGAGACGTTGGGTTGATTTTTTTAATGAGTTTATTTATATGATAAATATTTTATATGAGATTTCCCAGTATGCCTTCAATTTTAACAGAAAATTTAACTCCGTTGATGAAAAGACCAATAATGCAACACCAGGTGGAATTGAAGGATGGCCATAACAATTTTGCGACATGAGAGACGAAAAGTAAAGTTGGGTCTTATTTAAAGGACCATTGCTACAATTTAGCCTAAAAAGTAAGAACCTTCATGACCCTTTAGAAAGAAACATGAACAACAACTCCAAGGAAATTTTCTCCTTTTTTCAGATTTCAGGGTGCAGTTTTTAAGTGCAATTGGTGGCATGACCGGCTGTCCATTAAAAGGAATGTTCATAGACTCTTGCTATGCTCACTGTCAAACTGAATTGCAGGAGACGTGGTTAATGGCTGACTCTCCGGTGCTCAACAAGACGGTAAAAACCAAACTCTGCAATTTCATGCATTGCCTTTTATCTTCATCCACTTCCTAAATTTTTTCCTGGCTTTTTTTCCCTTCATGTTTCTATCAGTTCTTTTCTCTTTCTATTTTTGACTTGAAATAAAATCTAATTTTAACTGTGTAAAATACCTGTTCTGCAGACAATTGCACAGGCAGTTGGCGACTGGTTCTATGGCAGAACTCCGTTCCAAAAGATAGATTGCCCTTACCCTTGCAACCCCTCTTGCCATAACCGTGTTTTTGATCCAAACCAGCACCTACTAGAACAATAGATTAATATTCATTTGCGGGACAAAAATATATCATTTTCATTAGCTAGGTTTATAGGTTAAATTATCTCGAACAAGAAGGAAAAAAAAAAGAAGGTAATTCATCAAGTTATATGAAAATAATGAAAGCACACCATGGCACAAAAACCTGTGTGCTGGGTGTCTTTCCCTCATTGTTTATGTAATCGATCATCAAAATCTCAATTGTATTCGCATTCTTCCATCTTGTTTTCAGAGATATTTAGTTTTATACCCATTCTTAGTACTAACGATATATATAAACCATACCCCATTTAATTTCTATAAGCAAACACAAAAAATGATAGCTGGTCCTATTTAATTTAATTTTGATTATTAAATTATTTTGATGCCCTATTGACTGTTTTGAGTTTTTTTTAAAATGAGGTTTTGGGGTTGGGGTTGTTTTAAGAAATCGATGGCAGGTTGAAATTTATAAGAAATTAAAAGCCTCTTTGTTATATTGTAAATAGGCTTTGAGTGTGTTTCTAAAGTCCATTTCATATAATTTTTTTTAAATAATAGTTTGGGCCCCTATATTGAGTATAATAGTGAATCTTTTTTTTTTTTTTAATACTTGTTGTTCCCATAATTTTGAGATAGCTGTAGTATCACAATCATACAAGTAGAACGAAGAGATTAAGTGGTTCACCCATGAATTCATGCTACATCCACTGGTTGTTGTATTTGTATATATGTATAGAGATTACATTGGGATAGGCTTGAGAGCCTTTACAGATGGGAGAGGGGAGAAATCTGGAGGAAAGAAGAGAGAGTTGCCGAGAGCACCCTTCTCTTGGTTCAGTGTCTTTCTCTTTTGGTCCCCCCTCAGCCAAAGGAGAGAGTCCCTTTCATAGGAGAACAACAACCGACTTCTGTCCTTGGGCCTACCGACGTGGCTGCCCATTAGAGGCCCACCTAAGTGAGGTCAAACCATGTGTTAACAATACTGAAAAATCAATCCTTTACTTGGAGAATGACATTATTAACAAGGACATGACACACAACTTTGCATGGCAACCCACATTAGATGTTGCATATTGTTCCTCTCCTTCCCAACATGCATGTCCGGGAATGGTTATCCTTAGACCAATCAGTCGCAAGTTTGAGGATCGCTTTATTATCAAGTGAGCATAATGTGTAGTCACTAAAACTTAAATTTGTGGTAGGTAATTGTAAAAAATGATTTAGCTTTAGAATACCGTCAGCTCGACTTTCAGTCTTGAATGTGAAGCCTAAATCCAAAAATTTGAGATTTTGGTCTGTACTATTTCCAATCTTACCACAAAAGAGAGGGGGAAAACAGAAGAAGAAGAAAATGTGTTTAGATTTTGAATGTTAGACGAGGCACAAATTTTTTTTCCCAATTCTTCGTAAAGCAAAATATGGTTAAAAATGGACCGACACATAAAAAAAAACATTATCAAAATTAAAATTTTGATATTTATTTCAGTCGAAGAGTTGGTATAAGTATCTAACTCATCATAAATATACCGTTTTCATATTCGAGTCCAACTTAAACCTTCATCAAGTAATAAATACCACTAACCAACGAGCTCAGTAATTTTCCTTATATCTTATGCAAAATTTGATATATAGGATATGGCGTTAAGATCAGTCGTCGTAATCTTTTGAATTAAAAAAAAAATATTGCAACATTATCTTGCGTGCATGAAGTTTCTAGGCATATGCTTTCTTGTACTATGCACTGACACTCGTATTCATAACACGCGTTCACCGACAAGATTTGTCCTAGTCATTGGTTCTTTGCTTTGCAGCTGTTGCCAGTAATGTCGCCCTTTAGCTTTATCTTCTCCGAATCGCTACAATAAATCTCTCAAAGCTCTCTGTAAAGCTAAGCTCTTCGTTCGCGATCACTCACTTTCCAAACTGTGTGTGTACCAAATAGCTTCCATCACGCTTACCTCACTCATCCCACTTTCCATTTATTTTCCTTCCTGCTATTGCTTTCTGTACCGTTATACCATTAAGAAAGAAACCCAAGTTCACAACTGGGTTTCTCTCTCTTGCATTCTTTCACTCTTTCAGATTTTTGTCTTTCAGCTTCTCTCATTCCAGGTACAGAGTAATAATGCTTTTGGTTTTCATGGCAATCGAAAGAAGCTGTTCTGTTTTACGTTTTTTTTTTCCTTCTTTATATGGTTTCCAGGGTCGAGCTTATTATCAAACATTGGTTCAGTTTCTGTTCATTGTGTAATGAAACTTGGTGCTTGTGATTGGATTGGAATGTCTCATATGAGCTGAATGCAGTTTGGGTTTTGGCATAAAAAACCCATCAAGCTGTTTAGATTTAATGGCTAAACAGATATCAATAGTCGCTTTGGCTAGAAAAAGGATTCTGAACTGAAGAACAATAGTTCGCAATTTCAGATCTTTTCTTTTTGTTTGATAGAATTTTCAATCTAAGATTTGGAATTGATGATCTAGTAATGTGCCAGTCTTTTGCTCTGCTTTCTTTTCCTTGTGTCTGTATGTGTATATGGTTGCCAAATGGATTTTTTTTCTTCTCTTTCTGTGTATATATTGATTTTTCAAATTTGGGTTTTCCATCGAATGACTGCACGGATGGTGTTGGTTCAAAATGGAACTGGATTCTGATTGATTAGCTAACTTTATGCTCTTATTAGTTAACTTTATGCTCTTATTAGTACAGAGTAAAGGTTAAAAAATCCCTGTGTTGCTCTTCCTTTCACATTAAGCAATGTGAAGGGAGAGAAAATTTGTTTGGTGGATTACTTTTTGGCTGGATGTATTGGGGTGCTAGCTATGACAGGAAACTGCTAAGTAAACTAGATTGCCTTGAATTTTAGAAGAAAAAAAAATGATGATACTTGTTTGGTCCTTAAACAATTATATGAATTATGGAGTTATACTTTATATGGATTATTGAGTAAAGAGAAAACTTTTTAGTTTTGAGTATTGTATTCTATTAGGAACTTATGGTACTGTTTTGTAGGGGAAAACTAAGTCTACCATTAAGCTATGAAACGAATGATCTGTATACTCTTTTTATTTTATTTTTATATTTATTGCTAAAATCTGTGTGCAGAATGGCCCATGCAAGATTAGGCCAATGGTTAAGTCTTCTAGTATGTTTACTGATATTGCTGAAAGCAGAAAGCCATCCTGTGGGAATCACTCTTGTTGAGAATGCAGTTGCCAAAGGAGCCGGTGAGAAATATTTGGGGAATTGAGTACTTCTCTAAAAAGTTTCCTTGCTCCATTTCACTTTCCTTTTAGTTTTCAGTGTTCCGATAACTGTATTTTATTGTTGTTTTTACTTTTCACTCTGTGTTCTAAAATTTGACATGTTATACAGTTTGTTTGGATGGGAGCGCACCAGCGTACCACTTTGACAAGGGATTCGGTGCAGGAATCAACAATTGGTTGGTTCATGTTGAGGTTTGTCATTTTCCTGCCATGTTAAAATGGATTTAAAAGATAGAAAGGATAGCTTTCACCAAAATAAAAAAGATAGAAAGGATAGGGTGGGAATGTTAATCTTAAACCATTTTGTGTTCTCTCAGCTCCACCTTCTAGTCAATGAGAGGGAGCTTAGAATAGATTATTGGAGAAGAGAAATCTGTATATTACGTCTGAGCTTAAACATTATGGCCTCTGAATAGTATAATATTAGTCAAATATTTTTCTAGAAGGCTGTGAACTTAACCTTTAGTAACTCCCCCTTTTTTTGGGGGCCTATAGAAAAGAATAGGCTACAAAATGTGGGGTAGCCCTTTCCCTCCCATATGCCTCTCCTCACTATACTGTTGTCCAGGTCTGGACCTGGGATCTTGAACTAGGGTGTTGGTCATGCAACTAGGGTACCAAGCATTAGCTTAGTAAACTAGTTGTAAAAGACTTTTGCATTAAAGTTTGAGATTTCTTTAATTGATATTTGGTTCTTAGGGAGGAGGATGGTGTAACAGTGTTGAGACTTGCCTTGATCGTAAGAATACTCACTACGGTTCATCAAACAAAATGGAAAAATCGATGTCTTTTTCTGGGGTGCTTAGCAACAAGCAAAAGTTTAATCCAGGTTTGGTTTGCCTTCATATCTCCTCAATCTTTGCTTTTTTGAAACTTGAAACAACTCCTAAGAATGACTCAATAGTTGATGAACATATCTATTGTTTTTTAGTTTGAATTTCATTTTCTTCTTTTGTTTTTTTGTGGCTAACTGTAAAAACTGGACCCTTTTTTATTTTTATGCTAGACTTCTATAACTGGAATAGAATCAAAGTTAGGTACTGTGATGGGGCGTCATTCACTGGTGATGTTGAAGCAGTAAACCCAGTAAGTTAATAAATTTCAATCAGCGACCCATGTTTTACTTTCATAAGAAATTCTGAACCTGGTGTTTATTCTACTAATTTGATCAGGCAACAAATCTTCACTTCAGAGGAGCAAGAGTTTTTCGTGCCATCATTGATGATCTATTAGCAAAAGGAATGAAAAATGCTCAAAGTGTATGTCCCATTCCAGGAACTGTACTTTTGTCATCTTGTCCTCATTTCTGATTGTTTGTTAGTACTACTTATGATTACAGGCTCTTCTTTCTGGTTGTTCGGCTGGTGGATTGACCTCAATTCTTCATTGTGATAACTTTCGTTCTCTCCTACCTGTGGGTACTAAAGTAAAATGTCTGGCAGATGCTGGTTACTTCATTAATGCGTAAGATGTATTTTACATCGTCTGTCTTGAAGACTTGACCCTGTATTATCTCTATTCTATTTCAGAATTCTTAACACCTTGTAATGATTCACAGGAAAACTGTTTCTGGATCTCAATACATTCAAGCCTTTTACAGTGAAGTGGTTGCGCTACATGTATTGCATCTCTGTTCTTTAAGATAATAAAGTGGCCTCTTACTTCTTTCAGGAGAAGAGGGTTCTTCCATTTGCTAGGCCTCCATTCTGTGCAGGTGATAAGTATAGTAGCTTCAGATTCTGATTATCTATTGTTTGTGCAGGGTTCGGCGAAGAACTTACCCGCATCCTGCACTTCAAAATTGAGTCCAGGCTTGGTAAGTTTTAATAGTGTTGGCCCAAATGAATTCTTGGCCCAGCGCAATACCTTATTGAAGAAAAACCCGACTTGGAGCACACAAAAATCCGCCATGCACGAGTCACACTCCACGCGCCATGCCAAATAAATAATCCGTCATGCTAGGAATCGAGATTAAGATTATAAAATGCATTATCTTTACAAATCCATGCTAATTATCCCGTCAAGCATAATAATTAAAAGCATGCCACGCGATATGTCATGCCAAGGATTGAAATAATATTATAAAATACAAGCCCATGCTAAACTAAGCACCGTGTCCCTCTTCAAGGACGATAAAATTGAAGCACGCCAAGCAACATGCCATGTCAAGCAAGAAATTATTATTCCTCACTCAACCACGCTACAAGCCTAAGCAAGCCCAAGCCGCTCAAATACCCAGGGCTTGCTTGAGTGGGTTGTGGTATAGACTGTAAGGAATCAACATGAGGCCCATTGATGGGCCGAGAAATAGAAAGTCTCGGGATGTGTGCGTGCTGGGAACAAGGGATGATAACTGAGTAGTGAGTGATGCCATGACATTGAGCATGCAAAGTGCGGCATCTGTCTGGGAACAAGGGATGACAACCGAGTAGTGAGCGATGCCATGACATTGAGCTTGCAAAGTGCGGCATCTGTCACAAGTGTGTGGCATTGCCTAATTGTGAAATCCCATGAAGTACAAGTGTTAAGAGCTCAATTGGTAGTAGAACGAAATTTGGTTGAAGATTGTTAATGCTTTATCCTAAACTTGAAAAGGGAGAGGGCAAAGACGTTGGAGGAGACGCGTCACTAGCTTGAAATATTGCATGAAGAGAATAAAAAACTATCGAAGATGGTAAATTTTTACTCTAAAGACATGCAAGAGCAATTGGAGGCTTTGGAGAACCCAGGGAAGCTCAAGCGAGGAGATCACGAGATGAGTTTTAAGAAAGTGAAGAGGGTGATCTTTAGAAGCTCAAGTGATGAGCCCCAAAAAGTGGTGCGTGAAAACCCAAGAGAGGAGGTCTAGAGGGCCAAACTAAAATCTCCCGTTGTAAAAACAAGAAGCGTGTCATGATGATGTTGTTCTTGTTTTTATATGTTTTTCTGAATTTAATTTTAATTTTAATTTTTAGTGATGCAGTACCTTTTTTTATTTATTTTTAAGTGAAATAAAATTTTTAATTAATCAAGGGTCATTGAAGTTTATGGTTCTTTGTACATATTGAGGTTGTTTTATTAGTTGCTACCACTTTTTATTAAATAGGTTATTAACCAAGTAATCTGTTTAATAACATGTTTAAGACGACCCGAACCCAATACCACATGTTTATTAAATAGGTAGGGTTTGCGTTGAGCATTCTTTACACATTTATTATCCCGACACGACACGACACGACACAACCCCGACATGACACGACTCATTGCTAGCCATACATACAATAACCATTTTGCCTTTAATTTGATGGAAAATTGAATATATTATGATCGCAAGACCAACTGTGCTAATAAAAGTGGAGTTAAGGAACTTCATGAGCAATTTTTACACTTAGAAGATTAAAATATGAATTGGGCACAAGTTCAAGGACTAAAATGGAACCAAACGATGAAATAAATTCGATATAGAGGGTTTGAACAATTGGACCCCTATAGTCAATGTCGAGTTGAAATATCTGGGATATTTTCTTTTGGTTTTAAACACAGAATTTATTTAATGATGTGTGGAAAAAATTGTGGAAGTTGGGGCATCAAGTTCCCGAGTATAATTTTCACTAAAATAGTTTCTGTAGTGTCATTTACAAAATTCAACATACATAAGTCCAAATACTGAAATCTTTAATTGCCTGAAATTGAAATTATGGAAATCCAAATTCCGTCATTTTAGATTCTATGTAATTTTCAATGAGTGCTTCTATTTCCACCCACTTATCTTATTTTCCTACCCACCATATTTTCAAAATTTTAAAGATAAATTTACCCATTTATGAAAAGACTTCTAAGAACTTGGAGAAAATGATTAAAACCCAAAACAATTGTCTCAACCTTAAAATTAAAAAAGGTAAAAAAAATCCAAAGCACAAATATCAAACGTCAAATTCCTCGCTTCCCAAGTACATGCGCCTTCAATTTTGTTTTTTGTTTTAGTCAGAGCCTTGAGCTTCTTATAGAAAAACTGAGAACAGCCAACAGCTTGTAACTATGGGCGATTCTTCAAATTTCCTATCTCATATTATTGCACATTCTCTACCATCCACTATTCCCAAATCTGATTGGTTTTCAACATAAGTTATGTTCATAACTCGTGAAAATGAAAGAATCATATCCTAGCATTAATTCATCTCATTGGCATTTGATTAAAGAATAAAAGTTTCTTCAATTGCCCAATTTCTCCTCATTTTCGTACCAGCCCCAGATCTACTGTTGGAGATATATTCTTTTGTATCGTCAAAATTGTTTTAAAAGAAATATAAATCACTTGTAAATGGAGAGAAGTTCAATTGTTTGTGAAATTAAAGTGCAAGAAAGGGTGAGATTTTGGTGGTTTATAAACACATAAAGATTCAGACCATTTGTTTTAAAAGTCAGATTCATACTATTTGTTCTCAGTTTTCATAGCTCTTGGAAGAAAGATTTGAAAAAACTAAGAACAAATAATCCGAATTCATTGTACAGAGGCAATTTATTTATTTATTTATATCTAATTGTGATATGCCAACTTTTCAGCCATTAAATTAAATTTAAATGACATCACTAGTTAACAGACCTCTTTAACTTAAAAGAGAATTTGCTTGAACTAATAATTAAAGGGTGTTTTAGGAATAATAGTGGGTGGAAAGATATGATTGTGCTTTTTCAAATTTACATAGTGGGTCGGAAAATAGGATAGATGGGTGGAAATAGCAGCACTCATAATATTTTACTTCTTTGAACTTGATTATTTAATCCGGTAGCTTTTGTAATTAAAACTCAGCATGATTGTTAACAATGCATCATCCCTAACAATGCCTGATTTCAATTTTCAGTTTTCAGTTTTATGTGAAATTTAGAAAGGGAAGTTTTTGGGGTCCAATTGTGAATTTGAGATAATAGAATAAAAGATGTTACAAAGTATTTGTAGTATTTTGCGCTGAATTTTTTGAAATTAAGATGATTTTTCGGTGAATTTTGAAGATGGAGTTTTGGAGGCTTGGATTGAGTCCGTGGCCAAATAGGAGGTCCCAAATACCAAATTTAGATAATTAGAGTGCATTTCATGTGTCGTGATGTAAATTCAATGAATGAAATAGGAGCACCAAAAAAAAAAAAAACACTTTCAAGTTGTTTCCAATCACTTTTTTTAACCGAAAACAAAATCTGTTATCAAACATGTTTTCAGTTTTTTTTTTTTTTAAGTGAAAATGAAATGGTTATCAAACAACCCCTTAGGAATTTTGGAACAATTCCTAGTCCAAGATCACACAAATGGCAAGACAATAAAAGTTGAAGCATACAAGAATCAGGAAACACATAAAAGTTTAAGAGGTCGAGATTGTGAATCCTACATCAGTAAATTAGAGCCTTGGCTAATAATCATCTTGGACCTCTCCATTCATTGCCAAATGGTTTCAGCAGAGTAACGGTATAATTATATGCAAATATGCATTATATTATAAGTACTATAAGAAATTTTAAAAGATATATAATACAATATAAGGAATGGGTCAAACAAGGATTCTATTTTTAAAAACCTAGCAGGTAACGAAAGGAAATCCCGCGGTCATGGCCTTAGCCAAGTTGTTTATAAAATATCCCAATGGAACAAGAATAAGCAAACCAAATCCAAATAGAAATACAAAATGAACAAAGTTTAATATAGAATATTTGGAAATTAGACGTAAAGAAGACAAATTAGAGAGACAATAGACAGTAATAAACAAACGCAGCAGATGACTGGCCCATTTTCTACCATTTCATCCCTCAGCTCAAGAGCAGCAGATGCCTTTCCTTCCTTGCAAAGGCCGCTAATTAAGGACCCATAGGTAAAGAGATCTGGTTTTAGTCTTTGGTTGTATCTGGTTCACATCCTTCCCTTTCCATCTCAGCCAAATATTCTAATGCCCCTGCAATCCTCCCATCACCACACAAAGAAACTTAACAATTATAGTGTATGTTATTACACTTGGCTTACACCCCTCACTCTCCATTTCATCTCTAAACAACCAAGAAGATCTCTCCACAAGCCTTCTCTACCAAACCCATAAACTAAAGCGGTATAAGAGCACACATTATGTACAATGCCCTTCCTCTTCATATCCAATAATACAATTTTGATCCTTTTTTGTTGTTTTTGTTTAGAAATTGATAAATAAATAATTAAAAATCAGAAAAATAAACAAAAAATTGTTACAAACTCCTTATGACACTATCTTCAATTACAAAGGTCTAAAATCATGATTCCACATCTTCGATTACAGCGCCACGTCTCATTTCTCTGATATTTTTAATATTTATTTTAAAAAATTCATAAACAATTAATTAAAAATCAGAAGAATATGCTGAAAAAAGGTACATGCTTCTTACTACAAAGCCTTCGAATTTTGAGGTGTAAAATCATAATTCCACATATTTGAGTTTATAGCAATCATTGCTTCAAAGAAACAAGAATGTTATGTTATAAAACATTAACTAGTGTTTTGGTTTGTTTTGAAATAAATTTGAGTTTTTGTTGCCAATTTGAATTTTTCTAGGTCAAAATATGATTTTTGAAATTTTAGGATGAACAGAATGTCACAAGGAGTCCGTAAGAATTTTCGGTGTATTTTTTTTAAAATGTATTTATTATGAATTCAAGAAGTTAAATCGCAGAAAATTTCATATTAAATGAAATTACTTGACCCTTAGTATTTTTGACGTGTGTCCATCTATGATGGCACCATGTGTAATTTCTATTATTATTTTTTTAAAATTCATACAACATTAATGACATGTTTAATAATCCGTAATTGGATTAGAAGGAATTGAATTGAGAATGAGTTGGATTGAGAAGAATTAGATTCTGGATTCCTAATGAAGTTATTTACTAAACCATATGGATTTAAGGGAGTTAGATTCCATATTCCTATTAAAGTTGTTTACTAAACCATATGGAATTAGGGTAAGAGTAGTACTAATTACTAAAATGTACTCGTTGTTGTATTAAGGTAGATGACATATTTGAAATTTTGGAAATTGTGTGAGGATATAATGGGTAAAAAACATGAATTCTTAATTGGTTAATTCTCCTGGAATTAGAATACCACCTATCACCCAAGAATTGAATTCCTCCAAAATCAAGAATTCAATTCCTAATTTTGTGTGTGCCTCACTTACTTTTTAATTCCTTGATGTGAAATGAATATAGGAATCCTCTATGGTGGAATTCAATTCATGATGAGAATTCCAATTCCTGATTAGTAAACACACCATAATTAAAGAAAGATTTTGGCGCTATGGGGATTGCTGTTGTTGATTTTGTTTTCATCACTATGCGGAGAAGGTATATCAATGTTTGAAGCTTCAGCTACAACCCAAAAACGGTAAGAACAGAACCGGACCGTGTCCAACGCTACTCATTAGAGCATCTCCAGTGGGGGTTATATAATGAGGTATATGTTAAATATACACAATTTGTTATCGGAATCACCTGTAATGAGGAGGTGTAAACGATTGTAAATTTCCGTCACAACTCTGAAATGCAAATTTAGATGCACATGTGCATATTTTTTTATATCCCTTTCAATTATACATTTTTAGATTTACATATTTTCCATTAGAGTAAAAACCATATTTATTATCTAGGAAGTATAAATGAGATGTAAAAGTGGCTTTACACTCCCGACAATAGACCCCTAGCTGTGAATGCTTTTGTAGAAGCTCCCAACAAAGTATCCGGTCCAGGAAGTAACAGAGAAAGCTGTGGGCTTTGGGAAACAGGAAAATAGAGATGGCGGCTAACTCTACGAGACGAACCCTACAATTTTCTTCATCTTCTGCAAAAACCCTTTTGTGCCGTACACCATCTTCACCTTTCGCCTCCAAAGCTTCTAATCTTATCGAACTTACTGCCGTCAAGCCCACTTCTGCTACTCGACTCGCTGCTCAGAAGCTCAAGTTATCAAGGTTCGATTTCTTTTTTTGTATCTTTAATTTTGACATACTTTGGAAATTGATCGCCTGATTCTAGAGGAATGGAAAAGAGAGCTGTGACTTTGTTTGGCTTCCGAGAAAAGAAAATCTGAATCTTGGGTCTTTTGTGCTTGCTCACGGTTTTTCTTTCTTTCTTTGTAGTTATGTGAAAAATGGTAAATGGAACTTGCTCCAACTGATCATAATCCTTGCATTAAGCTGATTGAGTTCAGCCTCTTTGTTTCCTTGAATTCCAAAGCTTGAATTTTGTTCAATATTTCATTTACTTGTGATAATTGCACATGTTCATTATGACAATGCCTCTATCTCAGTTCTATTTTGTTCACATATATATATATATATATACACACACACACGTGTAGTTTTTTCTGTTTTATTTTAATGATCATATATGATTGTGATAGTAGTTCCAAATGCTTGAGAGCATTATTAGGAAGACTGCTGAATTTGTTACTAAACTTACTATGATTTGGCCAAGCATAGATTTCCAGTGGAGTTGGCGGGTGTGCAGTCATTGATCCCATTGCATAGTGCTACTGCTTCTGCCTTGTTCACTTCGCTCCTATCTTTGCACAATAACAGCTGGGGATGCCTATCAGAAGGTACTCTTCAGAGTTTACCTTTGTTTTCATACAGTGGCTATGTCTGTGGCTTATGATATTAAATATCGTTGCACAATATCATTTGAGAATCCATAGCATACCCCTTCCATGATCTTTGGTTAATGATATTTTCTGTGGAAACAACGTGAATGGGATAGTTTATTACCAAGCTGAATGTTTGTCACCAACCATTAGGGCTGTACAGGATCCAAACCAATCTGCCAAAACTGACCAATCCAATCCAATCCAATTTTATTGGTTTCGATAATATTGGTGAATTGGATTGGATCCAAAAAATGAAAAACCGATTGAATCGGTTTGGTTAGCGGATCAAGAGTTTGAAATCCAATTCAAACCGAACACATTGGATCGGATTGTAAAATCTCCAATCCAATAAAAAATTGGATTGGATTGGATTGATAAAAATTCATTGGTTTTGAACCGATGTACACCCTTACCAACCATCATGCTATGGATGGAAAGGCTTTTTATTGCAGAAGAGGGTGTACCTATGAGACACTTGTTTCTCTTTTTACATGTTTTTCAAGTGAGATGAGTTGGACCTATAATTTGGAGAGTAATGAGAGAGGTGGGGGTGGAAATTTAATTAAATGTCAGATTAAGATTTCTCACTGAAGGCAGTGCCTAGCCAGTTAATTTCTGTGAAGCTACCAAACTATGACATCATCTTTTACTTAGTATCAATCTACTAAATAGGTAACTTAAGTAATAGAATTTCCTATATCAGATATTGGATCTAAAGGAGGTGAGAGATGTTATCGCTTAATGTTTTTTTTTTTTTTGGGTGAAAAGATGGGGCCATGCCCCAAAGAAAACACTAAACTACGGCCTGAGGCCTACAGAGACCACGCAGGTCATCAACAACAAAGGACCTAATACTGTCAGGAGGCACTTGAAAGGTACAGAGACCCAAATCAAGGCAAGAGCCCAAGTTAGCAAGTCTATCAGCCACCATATTGCATTCACAATAGACATGATAAATAGAGCAGCCCCAACATTTTTTGATGTAGTCCTGGCAGCCCCATAACAAGGTAGCAAGAGGGTGGAGGGCATCTACAGTTTTATTGAGAAGATGCACTGCAATGGCTGAGTCAGATTCCAACACAACATCACTGCAGCCCATATCCCAAGCAGATTTGAGACCATAGAAGATACCCCATAACTCAGCATCTAATACTTTACCATAACCAATATTAGCAGCAAACCCTTTAATCCACATCCCAGAAATTGATCTAAGAACCGCACCTGCAGCAATGCGACCAGTCTCTCCATTTCGGCAACCATCAGTATTAATTTTGGTCACTCCTGCAGCAGGGTACTGCCAGGATAGAGTGGCTAGGGAGCGGATGGGTTTATGAGCAAGATTAGTGTTGGCATGTTGCCAATCTGCAGCAGCCAAAAGAATTATGACTGGGATTGGGAGGGAAGACAAACCCAGGATAAAAAATCTTATTGTTCTCCATTTCCAAAGGAACCAGCATGTTATTGGTTAATTTAACTACCTAGATGAGACCGGAAGATTAACACCATATCTCGCACCAGAAAGCATCTGTCATGTGTGTTCAAATTCTTAGATTTCTGTAAATCTCTCTAATGGAGAAGGAAAATTAATTCTTTAGTGCATTGGGCTCAACCGAATGCCTTATGTTGAAAAATTGCTGCACCAAGAAATATAGAAGAATGCAGTGTTCTTAGAATTCTTCACAGATATTCAGGTGACATGGGGGAGGAAGATAGAGAAATATCCGGAGGTTGTTATGTTATGTATAGGTAGACAGACATGCCAATTGATTTAATCCATGTAATTGTTTTTTTTCTTCTTCTTATCCACGGTGTTAGAATTTCCTTCATGAAAACTCCTTGCAACTTTTACTTTTCCAGTGGTTCATTCTCTCATATTGTCCCATTAATAACTGGGTTTGTTACTGATGGGTGATAACAAACAGAGATCGTTGTCGAGAATATTATCTCACTGAGGCTTTTCAAATCATGACTCTATCCTCAAGGTTCCCTTCAATGTCTCACTTTGTACATTGTACCTGTATGCAGGTTTTGCAACTCCTCTATAGCATGGCCAGTGAGCTGCTGTTTCTAGGTGCAAGCGCGATCATGAATAGCAGATTTTGTTTCTTTTGCAGGTTTCTGATTGCATTTGAACTTTATTGTAACCTCAAAAAGTAGATGATCGTTTCATTGTTTCTCAAGGTTTTCCAGATTCTAGTTATGATAGCCGGAAATTCAGCATATCCCTGGTTAGAAATTTTGCACACGAGATCGCAACTATCGTGGTATAAACTCTGGAGTTAGCTCAATAGTGGTTTTGAGACAATTGGAAAATCGGGTTTGATGCTTATTGGTTTCATCGGCAATAAAATTTGCTGTACGTTATTGTATCTTGAGGAACAAAACCTCCAAGTTTTTGTACCACATTATTGCATGCTTTATAGGATGCAATTTTCACAGCTAAAAGAAGACTAACGCCAAGAAACATAAAAGGGTTTTGATGGACCAAGGACAGGATTGTTTTGAATACTTTATCAACGCCAAGAAATTTGAATCGCATGACACGAGCAAGTCGTGGTGGTTTTCATTTTGGCGCTGACAATTTTTATTATTTTATTTTAAGAAAAAACATTTATTGAATTTCTTTTATCCGCCAACAATTCAGGACCATCAACAACTATGACATCATCTTTTACTTAATATTTTTTTGGGCATAATCACTATCCTTATTTGTATATACGATTTTGTGCATCATCAATACGAAAACTTCCAATAAAATGCACAAGTGCACTCATGCTTGGTTTCCTGTTATTAGTCCTTAGCTTTGATTACAAGCATAAGATCAAAATATATAATAAGTATAGAATTTAGTTTCTTCATACAAAATTTATCGAGGTGATTTTATTGGCACTCCAAAATTTGCTCTTTGTACCCCACATTCTCTTTACACCCTACAAAATTTTAGTAAAATATAAAATTACTAACTACACCCTATTTTTTCCTCCTAAATTGCCCTCATAAACCCCATTCCTTAACTTACCTGTGTAAATCCTACCAAAATCGTTACCTTGTTTCAGTGGTAGTCCACCGAATGTGTTTTCGTTTTTCAGTGATAGTCTATCGAATATGTTTCAGTTTTTTAGTGGTACTTCACTGAATTTGTTTCCGTTTTTCAGTGGTAGTATACTGAATTCATTTCTTGTTTCAGTGATCATTTACCGAATTCGTTACTAAGTTCGCACTTAATATTATTTTTTAGATATGAAGAGGACTCGAAGAGATGCTACTGAGGCTTTATCATTTCGACCTGATAGACAACATCCCACAGCCTCAACGAGGAGACATAAAGTGGCGAGGTTATCCCATGAAGTGGACTAGCCCCAACATGGACTCCAGGCCACTTTAAGGATACTATAGAGGTTGAAGATGTAGCTGCTACTCATGATAGTAATGTTGAGGTAGATGTCGAGCATACTGAGCCATCTCGAGTAGATCCCATTGATTCATATTTACTTATGAGTTTTAAAACTCACATAGCAGTTGCAATTTGGAATAACTTGGTAAGTCATTTTACTGTAACAATAGAATGCATAATATAAGTCTGGTTTATGGTAATTAACCTAAATACGACACAATTTTGGAAGCGTCACCCATGATAGCAGCGGAAACACAACACGAAGCAGATACGACAAACACGACACAGACAAGGGCACAACGGAAACACAACACGAAGCAGATACGACAAACAAGGCACATGCATGGGCACAAGAGAAAACCCTAAAAGAAATTATGGCACACAGTAGAAAACAAGTGGGCACAACACACAAGTCACTAGAAAGTCGGCTCTGATGCCAAGTCAAACAATATGGGTATAATATTTTCAAGTTGTATTTCATTCTCCAAAAGAAGGTATTTATAATACAAGGTTACAAACCCTAGTAGGGTTATACTAGGAAATAAGATAAAGTCCTAATTACATAATATCTATACAAAAAGAAAAGAAATGGAATCCTAAGATACTAGGAAGTAAATCTCCTAATTACATTAGGATCTTGCTAATAATGTTTCGGTGGCATCCCTCCGAATTTACTTATTGTGTTCGGTACTGGTGAGCTGAATGCAACTAACGACCATCGTGAAATCCTAAACTTGAAAAACTCCAAAAAATAAACTCATACCTCATTCGAAGCCTCTCTAACTTCAGTCTCTTCATTCATGAATAAATACAAGATATTTTTTCACCAATATAAGCATATAAACCTCGTCAGGGTTGAAGGAACATGATGGTTTGATAAAAAAGTCTAATTAGGGTTGCAAGAACATATGTGTGGTGTAGTGAGCAAATTTAATTTTTTTTTAATTTTTTTTTTATCCTTAACGGTAATTATGTACAAGGGTAAAAAAAGTTATGTATGTTTAAAATTTGTATGGGGTGCAAAGAACAAATAATGGGGTGCCAATAAAATCACCCAAAATGTTATTGACATGCATTTTTTCATATCACTATTTGCATCCGACCTTATATCAGTTGTTTTACTAGACTTGCAAGACTTATAGTTACCGCTCCTCTCACAAGCAAGTATTACTTAAGGTCTCCTTTTGCCCTCACCTCCATAATCAGACCTTTTAATTACAACGACAATATTATTCATTCTTCCTTGTGCACGAACCCATCTAAGTAATGCATCTCTACCATTGAATATCTACACATAAAAGTCATGTTATTTAAAGATAAAATTTGAAACATTAATGTCATGTTAATGATACTAAAAAGGATTTCAGACCAAAAAAAAAAAACTCAAAATAATTATCGAATAATTGTGAATTGGTCACTATAATCCATTACACATTTTGTTCCCACACTGTTGCCTTCAGTAGGGGCGTCACCTTGTTTTTGTTCTTTCGATGAGAGTAAGATCAAAATAGCTTGCATTAAATTTGTGGTCGACAATAAGTTACTAAAAAAATAAATAAATAATTTCTATTCGTTGCCACTGAAACGCATGTAAAATTTCTGTAATAAACCACTGAACAACGTTCCATGACCAGTCAAACACAACCGAAATAGGTGCAATGTTTCGGTGGCATCCCACCGAATTTACCTATCGAGTTTGGTACTGATATGTTGAACGCAACCAGCAACCATCATGAAATACTAAACTTGCAAGACACCAAAAAATAAACTCATACCTCATTCAAAGCCTCTCTAACTTCAATCTCACAATTCATGAATAAATATAAGATATTTTTTCGCCAATATAAACATATAAATCTCGTTAGAATTGTAGGAACGTGATGGTTTGAGAAAAAAGTCAAACTAGGTTTGCAGGAACATATGTGGGGTGTAATGAGCAATTTTGATCTTAATTTTAAGTTTTTTTGTCCTAACGATAATTATGTACTAGGATAAAATAGGTTATTCATGTTTAAAATTAGTATGAGGTGCAAAGAGCAAATAATGGGGTGCCAATAAAATCTCCCAAAATGTTATTGAAATGCATTTTTTTCTTTTCGTATAATAAATGCATAGACATTTTTCACATGTTTTCATATTTTTTTATATTTTCCTATGATATTATATTAACTGAATTGAAGAATCTATTTGAGTAAAAATTATTAGGTGAACAAACTTCAATTTGAAGAGTTTTATTTGCTACTATTGGTGATGCTCCAACATAACCACAGAGCAGGAGAGCATCAGAGTTTTACGATCATTCCAAGTTGACGAAATGGATTGGGGTTTTGTACATAAAGCTTGGGACAAGTGGGCTTCTCCCAATATCGGCTCTGGTGAGTGCCGCCTGCAGAGCCTCGCCTGTCTGTGCATATGTTCCCGATAAGTCTGTATATTTTGGTTTTCATGCATTGAAATGTTGCAGATAAGCCATTAAAAGCAGCTATATTGATCAACTATGACCCAACTGGTCCGTCTCGCTTGTTGTCTACTATGTAAGTCAGATTCAAATTCAAACTCACGCGCCCCTTTAATATTTTTTGTTTTTGGGTTTTGGCAATGGACCTATGTTCAAGCAAGATTGTAGTATAATGCGTCTTTCTGATGGGTTCAATTTAAAGGTTACAAGTCCAAATTGTTCATCCAATTCCAGAGATTAATTGATGCTTGTGTACAATTTATTTCAAATTTTGTATTTATAGTTGAATCTTCAGTTTATGAATTATCTTTATAAAATAAAAGTGGAAAGGGGCTGGCTATAGAAGGAGAGGACAATATGATTAACTGAAATGGTTTTATTTGGTTCAAATATTGGACTCTTTATTGGGGGCTAGTTTTAGGATGTGTTTAGTAAAACTTTTGCTAGTGTCATGAGCAGGGGTTGATTATTACCACTGCAACTTTTCTTTACTTTCTTTAATATATTACACTAATAAAGCCCAGCTTTTGATGACTTTGATAAGTGGGTGACCTATTCTGGAAGGATCAGGTTAAAAGCATCTTGTTTGGTGTTTCTAATATAGATGAATTAACATATGATATGTGATATTTGAGGGGAGAATTTGTAATGTTATCATTCTGCAATTCGATTCCATCCTTCTCTCTCAATGTGAGTGTCATGCTATATGTGTTAACCTTTCACAAAGTTGGCATTATACTTTCAGGAACCTTTGTCTTCGTAGCTTTCAGGAAAATTGCTTTCTTTCCTCTGTAGTCTAGATTTCAAAGTGGTTTTCGACAACCGTGCTTCATATTCCCTTCAACCCCAATTTAGGTTTTATCTTTGAGATATATATGATGTTTGAGCCATAGGTTGTTTCAGGTCTATACTTTTGGACCACTCAATAGGTACAGACATTATGTCATGTTGTAAAATTTTAGATTGATTTAAGTTGACTTGTTAGCTTGATCATCGTTCCTTCTTCAGCACCAATGACTCAATCTTTTTGTTCTTTTTCCCTTCTTCGCCATTAATTCATTTGCTGCACCTGCCCATTTTTTATTTTCAAGGAAAACCGAAAAGATATGTGAATACACTAGGACAAATTCAGCTTTGCTACTTGTATCCATTATTACATTTATAAGTTCAAATGTCATGGATTAATCGAAAAAAATATCCCTCATAGAACTTTTTATATGGCCTATTTCCTATATGCATATATGTATGGAGAAATTCATTGGGAAATTTCGTTTGATGGTGCCTGTGGTTAGCAGTCAAATTGGAAGTTGATATGTGCAAATAGGTTTTGCTACATGTTACTTTTTTTACATATATATCAAGATGCTACGGTTCTCTTCTCATGGATGTATTTTAGATGCTTCTAGATGTATTTGGGGGTATAAATTTGAATTTTCATAACACAAAGAAGAGTCTTAATGGAAGTTTTGAGCTTTGAAGAGGAATTGCAAGGATTAGAAACTTCTCATGACAGGCAGTGATACCAATTGAATATCGGGAAAAGCCTGAGATTGGGGCTGATGATGAGTGAACTATTAAACAAGGGAAAATTAAGGAAGATAAATATCATTGTTCTTAAGTTCATCAACTGCAGATGAAAAGTGAATTAAGCAATAGTACTGATCTTCTTGATAGTTGGTGTCAAGCTGTGCAGTATAGTTGTCAAACAGTCTACTCTCTAGTGAAGTTTTCCAAGAGTTGTGAATTTTTATTTTAGATATATACATTTGTTATTATTATTATTATTATCATTATTATTTGGCTATTTAGGTTAAAATTTTCCCCAAAGTGTTTAATAGTGTTTTAAATTCTGATATAAAATCCTAATTTTAAAGTAAAAATGTTGCCTTTTCGTGTTTTATATGCTTGGGATCCACGTAAACCAGTCTACCAAGAGTTGCATCAATTTGGAGTTCAGACTAAAACTCAATACATATTGTTGAATGCTTAAAAAACTGGGCTTGCATGTCAATATGCTTACATTCAAGTTTGCCTGTCATGTTTTGTATGTGTACCTTCTTTCAGAAATAATGATAGGGAACAGTAATCCTTACATCTATAGTTGCTTTCTGTTTGATTTGGCCAAGAGAAAATTTTACTTAAATGTATGATGCTTATCATTTTGTTCTGTTTGGAAGCACTGTACCTGAAGGTTGATTGTATACATGCAGCGCAGAAGAAGAAGGGATAAAAGTGAATCCCATCGAATTGAGTCAATTCATTGATTTCATCAAATGTGACAAGCTCCAGACTGAGAGCTTCATTATTGGACCAAACCAATGTAAGTTCTTAATGTGGCTGCAATTACCACAATTACTTTGTTTAATAAGTAATAACTGTCTGTTTAACTGGAGGATTTGGAGGGGCATATGGTTTTGTATTCCTTATTACATTTTTTAGGGATTTAAAGTGGCCTTATATGGTACTACTGAATCCTGTAAAGTTGTCTTTCAGTTTAGATCATGAAATTTTACAGCAGGTTTTCAATATCTTGACAATGTGTGTTCTTTCACGACAATAAATGAGCTTTTGACGACAACAGAAAACTGCTGCAGAAATGCAAAAAAGGTTGCACATATTATGATAGATGTTGCATCAGTTCATGAGAACTGCTCATATATGCATCTTAGGACTGATTTGCTTCTATACGCGTCTTTAAAAAAAATAATAATAATAATTTACGGCTCCTAATTGCATCCTACAGATCCCATCTACCTTTATGCTTTGAGATCTAATTGTGGTGAGTTTTACTTGATCTAATATTATGACAGATATAGTGACATCAATTCATGAGAATTGGTTCTGTGCAAGGTGCATGAACACATCAAAATCTACTGGTGAAGGCGCTATCGTTATGCATACAGCAGCATTTCTCTTGGTTGCATTGTAAGCACTTACCGGCTGTAATTTTTACTTTAAGCACTGAAATGAGGTTTGGGATGTGACTGTAATATGTACAGAATGTGAAACTCAAATAATGTATATTTTTCAAGAGATTTGTGATAATTTGTTGTGAATTATAATTCATTCATGCAGGTACGATGGTTCTATTGGCTCAGCATCTCGTGCTATGGTGGCTGTTGATCAGTTTGCGTGGCAATTAACTCGAAAGAATCTGTAACTTTGTCAAAAAGATAGTGTAAGTTTTTAGTGTGATATTCTCTGGCACCTTGAATATGTCTTGATTAATTATTCTGTTTTTTTTCATCACTTGCCACTATTATGTTGCCACAATAATTATAATAATTTTATCATTATGCTTATGATGCGGGGCAGTAGTGATAAGCTGCTGTCCAACGGCTAAAACAGTGCCAAACCACACAGTAGAAACGGAATCCCAGCGATAAACAACACAGAAAATAGATGGATAAAGTGAAGTTGGAACTAAGATAATTGAGTTCTGGTCCGAAGACACCCCAGAGGAACTCTATATTCTGTCATTTCTGAATAAAGTTGTTAAAAGACCCTTATTACAACTGTTAACTAGGCTTTTATATTAGCCATCAAACCCTAACAAATTGGAAAACCAAATTGACAAAGGAAATTAAACCAAATCCTAACTGGAATAGGAAAACTATAATATCAAAAGTAACCCTAGCCGAATCGACTATCGGGCTACTTAGACCTGGAATGCCCATTAGATGCTCTT